AATAATATTAATAAATAATTTAATTATAATATTATAATTATCTTATAATTAATCTTCTATATTATCTTTTAATATTTACATCATAAAATTATTGAATTCTTTGATGATTTCATTTTATTTCTTTTATTATTTTAATGGCTTCTTCATTTAATATTTCATATTGAAATTATTAATATTTTATATTCATTATTTTATTTCTTTTGTTTATTTTATTTCATTATATTTAAAAAATTACTTTAACAAACTCAATTACATTATTATCTTTTTATTTATTTGATTTATTTGATTTTCATTTCATAATATTTATTTATTCTTTCTTCTTTACTCTTATTCATTTCTTATTATTTCATTCTATTTTATAATTATATTTTTATTTATTTTCATATTCAATCTTGTTATTATCAAAATTATTATATTATTATCAAATTGTGTTTCTCTATTTGTTTTAATAATAAAAATGAATAACACAATGATATAATTTAATAACTTACTTAATATTCTCATTATGATTATTTATCTGTTTCTTCTTCTTATTTTTATTTCATCAATTATTATTTAATAATTTATTTAATTTACTCTTCAATTCTTCATCTTATCACAATTATCACAATGAATTCAGATAATATCAATAAATCATATTTCTCTAACAAATTCACTTTCTCAATCTTTCATTTTACTTATATTATTAAAACATTATTTATTTATCAAATCATTAACTAAAATAAACTATTCTTTTTATTTATTCATTTTCATTCTTATTCTCATTTCTATCATATTAGAACATTTTAACAATATAGGATATACAACAAATTTTGTTGCCATGGGTATTGAGTAATACTATAGAGTCTTGTAAAGAAAATCAAACAAGACACAGGTATTCAAGTTGAAAGAAAAGAAAGGACTTCAATAACAATAAAATACATAATAATAATAATAAAAGAAATAACAAGAGAAAAGTGAATAGAAAAAGAAGAACACAAATAAAAACAAATAAGAAAGAAAGTAAATATAATGATAATAAACATTATACAAACAAGAAATCTAAATTATTAACAATAAATGAAATTGAGATGAAAAATAAAAGAATAACAAGAAAATGGGAAAAAGGAGAATACTCAGAAATAGTTAAAAAGTATGAAAGTAAAGAAAATGTATAATATTCTCTAAGAAGTATATTCAATAATAAAGAAGAAAACACTAGAGAAAATCAAAGATAAAACAAAAGATTGGAAAAGTGAAGATATTAAAATAAATGAAAAATGAATCAAAAACAAAAATTGAATCAAAGAAATGAATGATAGATGTAAATATGCAAGAATAATAAATGAAAAAGAAAATAAAAGGAAAACACAAGATAAAGAAGAGAAAAAGGAAGAAGAAAGCAACAAATAAGAAATTAACACACTTCAAAATAAAATTAAAGAAATAGAAGAAACTATTAAAGAACTTCAAACAAAAAAGAAGAAGAACAAATTATCTCCAATGAAATAAATCAAAAAACACGAGAGATACAGTTAGAGAAGAGGATGAGAAAGAAATAAAAAAGATTCAAACACAAATAAACAATAATCAAACTAAATGTAATGAAATAAGAAAACTCTTAATTAAAAGAGGAAAATAATTATACTGATTGATGAATATGTTAATGAAATAATTAGAAGAGTGGTGTAATATTGTATAAGAATGAAATAAGAAATAACATAATAGATAGATGGTATTCCAAGAAATGAATATTGAATAGAATTAAAAAAGCCCTAAGTCATAAAATCCCAGAAACGAAAATAGAATAAATAATAAATGAAGTGAAAATAAAAAAGAAAAAGAAGTAGTATTAAAAATAAAGAAATTAATGACCAACAAATACATCAAAAAATGGAAATCAAACAAGTGAACATTTTAGAAGATGGTTAGAGTCAAAATTTGTAGATAAAACTACTACAATCAATGCATGGAATTCCATCAATATAAAGAAAAATTCATTTCTTCAATTAACTAAAATACAAGATGGAGCAATATTTAGTGGGTACAGGAAAGATAAAATATTAAAAAATGAAAGATTAAAGTACTGTCCACTTTGTAAATACAAGATAGCCACAGTAGAACACATTCTACTATCTTGTATTTGTCATAAAAAATCACAAAATGAGAAACATGACCATATTGGCATTATCATATTAGATAATAAGAAAATACACATGAAATAAACAATACAAGAAATCCCCATATGAAACAGTGTTCCAATACAATGACATCACTATGATATGGAACAAACAAATAATATCAAAAAGTGATGGACTATATCATAAAAGACCAGACATATATGTAATAAATAAAAAGAATAAAACTGGTCTAATAATTGATATGACTATTGTGGCAGATCATAATATTAATGGAGGGTATTGGAAGAAAAGAAATATGTACAAGGAATTGAAAAATAGTGTAATTAAAATAGAGAAATTAAAGGATGTCAAAATAATTTCAGTAGTAAATTCGATTAATGGGCTAGTAAATGCCGAAAGTATTAAATTAATTAAAGAATTAAAAATCGAAATTTACAACTAAAGAAATTAAAAACCATGTAATTAAAAACATGATGGATGTCATGGAACACTGATTCTACCACAATCAAACATATGTAGTTGAACTACAAGACGAAGACTCAGGGATGGGATTAGTCTCCGGTGAAGCAGGAACAATAGACACAAGTTCTATTAATACTTAATTAACTATTTATTTTTATTTGATTTTTATCTTCTATTTTCTTGTTTTTATTATTGTTATTTAAAACAATAAAAATGAAATGACGCTTATTAAAATAATAAAAATGATGTGTTATAAACGTGTATTTAAATATTTAATCTTATTATTTTGATCTGATATTCATTAAATTAAAATGGAAGAAGTGATGAATAATCAATTAATTAAAGAAGTAGTAGAAACACTTCCAAATATTCAACAATCAATTGATGATACTACTAAACATTATCAATATTATTTAGGTTGTATTAAAAATGAAATATTTGAGAAACAAGATAATGAAACATATTCAGAAGCTATTAAAAGAGGAGAAGGAATATTTGATAGAATTGATGAAGTAGTTAAAAGGAGAAGAATAGTAATAGAAAAAGGACAAGAAACAATAAATAAAATAGAAACAATTAAGAACCAAATGAACAAAATAATAGAAGAATGTAATGATGATTCAGAGGCAGTTAATAAAGCTAAGAATGAACTAATAGATAAAATCATTTACATGGAAGAAATGGATATGGAAGATAAAATTAAACCATTAGAAGAAGAAATTAACAATATTAAAACAAGATTTAACAAGAATAAAGAAGAATGGTTTACACAATATAGTGATTATTTAGAGAGGAAGAAGAGAAAAGAAGAAGATGAAGAAAAAGAGAGAAAGAAACAAGAAGAAGAAAGAAAGAAACAAGAGGAAGAAGAAAGAAGAAGAAAAGAAGAAGAAAGAAAGAAAATAGAAGAAGAAGTAATAAAAACTATAAGAAAAAAGAAACAAGAAGAAATGAAACAACTAGAAGAATGGACATCAAGAAAAGTATCCAATATATTATTTGATTCAGATATTGATAATTGGAATAAGAATACATCAGTATTTGATCAAAGAATAATAAATAAAGAACATATAATAATTATTATTGAAGATACAAATGGAAATAAATTTGGAGGATATGTTAATGTAAAAATTGATAAAGTTAATAATTGGATAAATGATTCAAAATCATTTTTATTTTCATTAGAATCAAAAGGAAGAATACAAGGAATGATGAAATTTGGTATTAAACAACCACAAGATGCATTTTATTTATTTAATCAATCAAGTGATTGGTTGTTTGCATTTGGATATGGAAGTGATATTTGTGTTTATAAAGAAAATAATAAAACAAAATCATTTTGTAATCAACGTTCATATGAATATAAAGGAATATCAAATGCACTTTGTGGAAAATATAATTTCACACCACAACGAATTATTGTAATTGAAATGAAATGATTTTTATTCATTTTTATTTATTTGAAAACTAAAAACTAAAAAAGAATATAAAATAAAGTCAATAAATGAATATGAACAGCCATTTCTTTCATCTGCCAATGAATGAAATGGTGAATATAAAAATGTTCATATTTCATTCTGGTTTTATTTCATTTCATTTGAAATAATCACACCCAATGAGGGTGTTAATTTAATAAATAATAAAAAGAAATAAAAATAAAATATAAATAAAAATATAATAAAATATTTATTTTATTCTTTTTATTTATTTTTTATTTTATTTATATTATTTTATATTTATTTATTTTATTCTTCTTCTTTTATCTTTATATTTATTATATATTTCTTATTTTATTATTTATGTTATATTCTTATATCATTTTATTCTTATTTTATATTTATTCATTATTATTCATTTCATATTAACATTGTTAAATATCAATACAACATATAATAAATAAATGATATAAGATAATCAACAATAAATAATAATAAAATATAAACAAACAATATAAACAAATATAAAATGATAAAAAGATCATCTAATATAAAATAACAACAAAGAATAAAAAGAAGAAATGGATGATGTTTAGAAAAGAAAAAATTGAGAAAAAGAAGAAATAAATGATGTTATTCAAAGATAAAAATCAATATAATATAAAATAAAATATAATCAATAATAAGAATAAGAATGATTATTTCTTATTTTATTATTATATTCTTCTTTAATATTGAGATCTATTTCTACATCACAAGAATACCATGAAAATCAGATAGAAATAATTATATAAAAACAAATAGATTTAGAAGATATTATCAAGGATATAACGATAATCAGTATCAACAAAATAATAGTCATAATCACTTTAATAATAATTATCATATTTATAAATACCATAGTACATTATCAATTAATCACATTTATAATAAAATGAAAAGTAATTATTATAACACAAATACCATAATTCAAGTAAAATGTTTAAAATATTATTATGAGAATAAACAATATAAAAGACATAGAAATAAAAGATATTACAAGAAAAGACATAAGAAAAAGAAAATAAGAAAATAATACAAGAATGGATGAATAGATTTGAAGAGATAGAAAAGATAAAGAAAGAGAAGTTATGTAAGAAAGAAGAAGAAATACGTATGGAAAATGAAGAAAAGAAGAAATAATACAAGAACAAGAAAGAGATATAGAAGAAGAGAAGAGATAATAGAAAGATATGAGAGAAAAAAGAAATAGAAGTAGAACGTGAAATAGAAATAAAAGAAATGGAAGAAGAGTAGAAGAAGCAACAAATGGACCATCAGAATTAGAAGAAAAGAAGAGAAAAGTTATCATTGTTATGGATTAAATAGTGAACCAAAACAACCAAAGAAATAATGCATCTAAATAAAAAAACACACCAAAAAGAAAAAGGGGCAAAATAATTTGAATCAATAAAATAATAGTTTTTATTATTTTGCTCCTAAAAAAAATAAAAAATAAAAATGTAAATTAAATATCATTCTATATTCATTTATATTTCTTTATATTTTGTATCATTTTATGATAAATTGTTCTGAATTATAAATAATTCATAAATGATATTTGATTCAATGTAAGTATATATTTTTATTATTATGTTTTTATTATTTTATTTATGTATTTCATTTTTATATATTTATGTATTTTATTATTATACTTATATTTATTATTATATTATATATATCATCATTTTATCTATATATTTTATATTTATCTTATTTTATTAGTTTTATATTATTATTATTTATATTTTATTTTATATATTAATACACTTCTATTTATATATAATTTATTATATATTAATACATTTCTTATCTTATTTTCATTTTGATTATATTTTTATATTTTATATCTATTTTCTCTTTATATTTATTATTATTTTATTTATATTATATTGATTTTATTTATTATTTTATTTATATATTTTATTTATTATTATATCATTTCTTTTCTCTTATTATTTCTTTATTATTTATTATTATTTATTTAATTTTTATATCTTCTATATATATCATATGAATTTATTATTTATTATTTATTTTATCTTTTCTTATTATTCTTTTATTATTTTATGTTTATTATATTTTATTTTTTTTCTTTTTCTATCTATTTTTTATTATTTTTATTTATTATATATATTTCTTTTATTCTTATTCTGTTATTATTTATATTTTTTATTTATTTTATTTATTCGATTGTTTAATAAAAAATATATTCAATTTAT